TAGTTGCAACTCTGCTGTAATACATTGATTACAGCAGGTATCTTTACTATAGAGTAATCTGGAGTAACCTGGAGTAACCCGGAGTAACCTGGAGTAACCTGGAGTAACCTGGAGTAACCCGGAGTATAATCTGGAGTATAAACCCGGAGTATTTAATTCAGGTTAGGTTGGGTTACCTCTTACTCCACTATAATATGAACCCATTAACAACCCTAAATATAATATATATCAAATTTTTTTTAATTTGATTGGTCAAAATCATTGAGATTATCGAGATCAAATGTGATGTTACACAGGAATTTTACATTTTAGATGATGTACGGCGACGTAGTCACCTACTGGGAGGGATTTTCATGTGTTATATTATATTTAAATTGTTATTTATTAAAAATTTGTGGCATCTAAATTTGAATAAACATTTAAAGATTTACCGTAATTTTCCGACCAAAGCCTCGGGGGGATATTTTGTATGGGGAGGATACTTTGTTTAGCATGGGTTATAATAATTATAATAATATAATACCTATATATTGTACCCCAGGTACATTTCATAGGGGGTATTTTTCCTAGGGGTACTTTGATCGGCAAATTACGGAATTGATAATATCCTTGCAAGGGTCCAGAGAGAGTTGTTTCTAATCGTTTATATTTCCTGATCATGGATTCATCCACAAATGCTACTTTATATATCACCATTTTTTTTTGTTTTCATACATTCATCAGCAATATTAATATTATCCCATGAAAATGATCAAAGGAAGAGTAAAAAAAAGGAAGAAATAGAATTATTAAAAAGAGAAATACGTGTATAACAAAATCAAAGAAAATTTGCAATGTTGGTATTAATAAATTATACACGGAAGTGCCTAATCTATGGTATATATTGTGATTTTCATTTTTTTTATGAAACAGAAAATAATATTTCAAGGAACACAACTGTATTAATTGTATTACACCCTCGGTTTTTTTTTATTTTTTTGCTTTATCATTTTAGCTTTATAAACTGCATCATCAATTGTATCTATAACCTCTTTTTTTTTTCAAAGAAATGTGTATCACAAATAATATATGAATATTTTATTTAATTTACAGTTTTTTAGAGTACAATACAGTAAAAAATGTACATTCATCATAAATTTTACATCAAAATGGTTCAATTCTAGGTAGAAGCTTTAAGGATAAATAACTTAATTTACTTCCATTCTAGATAATCTAATTTTTAGTATTTCCATTATTTATATTTATTTTATTCCTGCTGTTCCTGAGCGATTGTATGATTATCACTATATCCACTTTCATCTAGATCTGTAAAGAAAGTATTGAATTCATCACCTCCCATACATCCAAACAAATCTTGCATACATTTACCCAAATGTTCCAATTCTTTTATGACATCCTCCATTACAAGCGCGTAAGCATAATAAACTATATAATGTGCGTCATTTCCTTCAATAATCCTTTGCTTAACAACTGGAAGATCTCGAATCTTTTTAATTAATCTTCGTCTTGCCTTTTCGGCTGGCGGTAAATATATTGGTAAAGGTGTTTTAAGTTTTAATGCTGCTGCTAATATATAAAAATATAACAAAACATTTCCTACTAATTCTTTCCTTTCACGCGAAATCGGGAGAATAAAATCTCTTCTTACTGATGCATATCGATCTTCTTTCGTAACAGCAATTCTCATGGATAGCAACTTATCAAGAATGTTTTGGCATCCTAAGAGTATCTCTTGATAAGTTCTCGTTGGGAAAGGACCTTTCAGACGAGGTTCATTTGGAGTCTGCGCAAGAAGATCATAAAGCTTAAGTAATGAAACTTGGAGAAATAATTCCATATCCATAAATTCTTTTGCCGAATTACTAAGATGTTGAGATAATTTAGGAGGAAGTAAAACATTTGTATCATGAGATTCTATATCTATATTTTGAGGGTTCTCCCGGACCTCGGTTTTAGTCGAATACACGGCAACCAATTTTTTATATAACAAGCTCATATTAACAAATAGTTGACTTAAACCTTTTCGAAGTTCTGCACGTGCTTCATATGGCCATAAATAATTGGTAACAACTACACCCCAGACAACACCAGTACTAACAGCAATAAAGCGAGTCCATGCAATATCTTTAATATCCATTACTGGCTCTTTATCACGTATATTATATCTATATAACGCAACTAGATTATAAGTCAAAAGAATAAATGTTCCAATACGATTGTATTTTGTATAAAGAATAAGTTTGAAACAACCTAGAGCGATGATAAAACCAAATATGGAAAGAATAACTGGATTATCGGGGAATAACGTATAAATAACCCATGAGAGATAAGATCCAAATAATGTTCCCAATACTCGATATATTGCCACCAAATTAGTTCCACCCACTGTAGGAACCATCACGACCATCATCTGAAAACGTGAAATTAGTTATTATTAGTTATTATAATTAAATCGATAAAAATATATAATATATTATATATACACTGTACCGTAATGCATGCCCACTCTCCTCTATAATAATAATATAGATCTCTTGTCGATTCAATGAATGCAGGGCTTACTAATATTGCAGCACTAACAGCAGCTTTAAAAGCATATTTGACTTCAAATTGACGAAACCAAGAAAGTGATTGCCAAATTTTCATTGTAATCTTCTGCCAAAAAGTTTTAGGTTTTGGTGTTTGAAGAGTATCAAAAAGATTATGAGTATTTTCAGGAAATTTATCTTTCATTTTTTTAATAAAATTTTCTTTACGAGCTGATTCAAAAGAATTTTCACGTGTAAAACAACTAAAGAACAACCAAAATTGCCACCATCTCCTTCTTTCTCTTCTTTCTTGTTCTTTTGCATCAATTCTTGAAATCATGTCCACCAAATCAACAAGATCCGCGAGTTCTCTGGTAAATTCTTGTAAATTAAATACAAAAAAATATATAAGGAAGATTTCTTCATTTGGTCTATCTTTTAAATTATTATTTTTTTTATATAATTTATTTAATCCACGCGATTGAGATTCTTCAAATAATGTAAGAGCAGATTGAAGGTTTTGATGAAGAACAGTAAAAGATGATGTTGTTGTTTTAAGAGAATTATTTGATGATGTGAATAAATCTTGTAAATGTAAAATGGTTTGCTTGCAGGTGAAAGCGAGTGACTTCATTGGAGGTCCTACAAATCTTATAAATTCAATCAAAACCTTTAAATTTCCCAATTCTTCGTCATCAGAAGAATCATTATTATTATTTGTCTTCCTTTGATTTTGATTTTCAGTATTTGGGTCTTTTTTTTCTTCTTGATCCTTTATTATTTCCCACTGAAGCCCACAGCAACTTCTGAGACCACCCAGATGTTGTGCCAATCTAATCAAACTCTTCACAACTTCTTTATACAAAGAAAGTTGTTGTTGCATGTTTCGATTATGAACTTCAAATGCTGCTTGTTTTAAAGAATCCTGAAGTGATGTAAAAGTTGCACGATATGAAGCAATTGCTGATTGAACTGATTCATCAGTATAATGTATATCGTCAATTAAAAATGTTTTTGTGAGAAGTTTTAATAAAATACGAAATGATTTAAGAGTTACACCAATATCATTCCTATTTTATATGAATGAATTAAAAAATTAGGAATCTTTTGCTTAATTATCTTAATTATTAAGAGACAAAATATAGAAGAAGATATATTTTTATTACCTTAATTTTTTACTAGCACTTCTAGGCCATATTAGTATCGATACTAAAAAGCTGATGACAATTCCAATCAGAATTATCTTTGTGACCTGAATAAGTCTCTTTCTCTGCTGATCATCCAGAATCAAAGCACCTTCTCTCGTTAAAGTGACAAATATTATTATATTTGCAAGAGAGCAAGCTACAAAAAATAGAGAGATATATATATCTTCAATATTTAACAAAAAAAAAAAATAATAATAATAATTAAAACAAAAATGAAATCATATAATAACGATTACTCACCACTATTAAAAGCTGGTTTGTTAAATTTTGCCTTGTTAAAAGCAACAATGAACATACTTCCTCCACACCATACGACAACGGTTATCAAATGACCAAGGGTTGACATGTCGTGATTATAAAACCATTTGGCAGTTACCATACTTCCAATACCAACAAGCATACCGTAAATACCCCCCAAAAATGCAAAAAATACAGCTTCATACATTCCACCTATTGTTTTAGCAGGATTGAAAAACACCACCACAGAAGCTACGAGATGTGAAATCTGCAAATCATATAGATCAAACATTTCAAATAAGAATGGTATATACGTAAATAATGATGCAAGAAAAAATGATAATGCACATTTAATAATATTCTTTTGATTGGGTGTAAATAATTTTTCTTGCAACCAAGATTTGATATTATAATAATGTGAAGAGAGAGAATTATCATAACGTGGATTTTTATTAATTAGAATTTCAATATCAGAATCACTATCATAATTATTATAATCTTCAAGTAAAGGAGTATGTTCCGTATTGTGTCTATATAAAAAAATGAAATCTATTTTTTAATTTACAATATTTTTATATATTTTATAAAAATCAAAAGAAAAAAATAAATAAATCACATAAATCATTTAAACCTTGAATATTCAGATGTTAAAGATATCCTTCTATTTTGTAATGTACCATCATCCATAATGACACTAAATAAACCATCGGTAGGTGACATCATGGATGATGGATATGATGAATCCTCGTGAATATTATCATCCATTAAAGATTGTGGTGAAAAAGACAAAAGATTACCACTATATTGTCGTAATGAATTCCATGGAACTCTTTCATTGGAAAAAGACGCAGAATAAGATCCCGGAAAATATGAACGACTACGTGAAAATCTTCGGGCATTTAATGAATTCTGGGGAATAACATGAATTCGTGTGGGAATTTTTTGTCCTCTTCGTGGTTGTGAAGATGATTCACCAATAGCCAAATTTTCTTCAACTATTGGATCAAGAACAGTTTCATTTGCATTTTTATTGTTATCAAGAGAGCTTTGTTCATCAATTTGATTAAAAATGGAACCAAAACTTTGAAATACCCCACCACTTCCTGGTGGTGAAAAACTGAAAAAAATTTAGGAGTAAATATCAAATACTATGATACTTAATATGCATAAATGAATATTTCATACTTTATAGAATGCCTTGTGGGGAGAACATTGTTGGAATTTGCTGCCGTTGCAAGGTCTATTTCATCATTTTTTGAATTATTGGTCATAATAAAATTTTTATCAATTTAAATTTTTCCGAAAGAAAACAAGATGATTTGTAGAAATTTAATGTGATACATGTTAGAAAAAAGACAATGTAAGAAATTCCAAATAAAGTAGTGGCTAATTTATGGTTAAAAAACGACTCGATAAAAAATTTTGATCTAGTATTTTTATAGCCTTATTTTCGGGATCATCCGAGGTAGAGTTATGTCATCTCTACTTTATAAGACAAGAATGATAGTCGAAATACACTTTAATTTCTTTCTTTGTCAAAAATTACACAATTAAGACAATTAAGATGAAAAAACTATTATTTTATTATTTTGAAAATTCTGCAGGTTCATTTTTTAATTTTTTTACTAATACTGATATTATTAATGATGATTGTGCAGCAAACAATCTGATTTTTTGAGCAATTCATATGAAGAAAGAAAAGAAATAAATCAATTTGACAATTCAAATCTATTTTGAATATTCTAAATAGATATATTTTTTATACAAAGAAATACATTACAATATTATAAACATTCTAAATCCTAATTAACAAAAATTCATAATTTTAAAATATTATTTTGAGTTTTTCTGATCAACATTTAATTTCATTATTATTATCATTATTATTATTATTATTATTATTATTATTATTATTATTATTATTATTATTATTATTCACTAAAACTTCAGAATTAGAATTCTTTCCATCATTGAAAACATTAGTCTGCAATAAATTTTCATAATTACAATTTTCACTTAAATGTTTAGGGTCACCGCAGTATCGACAACCTAAATTACAATTTTGACTAATATGACCTTGATCCCCACAATTACCACAGCGTAAATTGTTAACAGAACGAGTTCCATTTCCATTCATGCTTCGCCGTGAATTAATATATTTATTTGATTCATGTAATGAATTCACAGTATTCATAGTATGGGATGAAGTTGTAAAAAGACCGGAGACAGATGAAGAATGCATTATTTGATTAGTGTTTGAACTTCCAGGTGAAGATTCATTCTTTGGGCTTACTGACTCCCAATTGCCACTAACTTGATTATTTTGTTTATTTCGTTTCTCCAATTGGTTAATTCGTAACTCTAACTTTTGAATATATCCAATTTTTTCATCCATCTCCTGTTGCATACGTGCTTCTAAAATTTTGATAGTTTGAGACTCGTGTTCGCGTGACATTTCAATTAAATTTGTGTATCTTATATTCATAGATTGTACTTCTTGTTGCAACGAAATTAACGATGAAACTAATTGTTTCTTATCATTAGAAAGTCTTTGTATAATTGAAATTAAATCCGTACGACTTAATGTATCAAGATTAAAATTGTTCGTGGCATCCACGAATACATTATTAGTGAATGATGTCCCTCCAACAAATGATTGTGAACCGAGACCAGGTGGAGCTGACAAGTGGGAATGTTTAGAATGAGAATTGTCCGTACTTTCAGTAGTCAATTGATTAAAGGATGTATCCCATTCATTAATTTTAGGATTATTCCCTTCCAAATTAATTTGCGAATCACTTTCTATTGAGCGATTTGTGTCAAATGATTGTGATGCACTTTCATAATTCATAGAAATATTTTCAAAAATCATTTTTTTTAGTATTTTTTGTTGGGCTGCTCTTTTGGAATCATCATCTTTAGAATTCGAAATTAATTTATCTGATGAAGCTGACTGATGCTCAGGATTGACTGGCTGTGGATCAGTTATTTTACTTTCGTCGGATGAATTTATAGTTCCCTTCTTTTTGTTTCTTTTTTTATTCTTTTTGGATTCTTCAACTGGAGTAGCAGCAGTTTCTGAAAAATTAGAATTTGTCAAATCCTTATCTCCTTTTTTTTTCTTTGATGAATCTGTCTTTTTTTGATCAATAGATTGTAAAAAAGAATCTTGTTTTTTCAGTGCTAAGGATTCCTCTTGTAATCTCTGAGCTTCTCTCAAGAATGAACATCCAATAATTTCTGATAGAACCTTTCTCCCTACTTCTATACCCTGATTAAAGTCTTTTAAAAGTTTTTCACGTTGTAAATTAAAGTTTTGAATCGTAGATTCATTATTCATATAGTGTTTTCCCAATTCAATTGCTTCCCACATTTCCCCTTCCATCATTAATAATTCCAAAATTTGAATACATATATTTGCAAAATCGGTGACAGGAAATCCATTTCCAATGGAAGTGACAGAAAACTGTCTCAAGTTTTGAAAAGAATTTTCAAATTTTTTAATCTTCTTTAGAAATTCTTTATTATTCGCTTTTTCTAATCTACCTAAAATTGTTTTTTGTGAATTTTTTTTCCAATCTACTGCTATGATTTCTAATTCCTCAATTAACTCTTTATTCCTCTTCGAGAAATCTTCTCGCACGATTGAAAATCTTTTTGATATCATCAATTTCAAATCTTTTATGGTGTTTAGAGTTATTGTACATTTTTGTGTTGCATCAGTATAAAATTTTAAGAGTCGTCCATTACTTCTATTCTGAAAATTTACAAAATAACTCATCAAGACAGGTTTTGTGTCGTCAATGAATTTAGTAGCATTCGTGAATTCCTTTTCTATAAATTCTTCTTCCCATAATGATAATAAATTTTTATAATTATTTATATAGGCATTAAATGAATTATCTATATCATCGACAGTATTAATTGATACGCTTCCTTTCTTTAATTTTTGAGGTTTCTTATATGTTTCAGATATAGGTGCCCAGTACTCTTTAAATGAAAAAGATTCATTCTGATATTTTTTCAAGAAATTGGTCATATTTTGAACACAACCTTTACCAAAAATCAAATCTCTATTTTTCTCCAATTCAATTATTGAATTTAACAGATTATTAACGAATTGCCAAACTTGATCTAAATTTTTTATTAACTTTTCGTTATTTATGGATTCCTCTTTAGACAACTGATCATTAAAGACTTTACGATCTAAATCAAGTTCAACTGGATATTTACATTCTGATTGAGTATGATTACATTGTGTTGTTAAAACAATTAATTTCAATAAAGGAAAGTTTTCTTTAGAGATTTGATAATGATTCTTTTCAATTGAAACTTTTTCAAGCAAATTAGGAAGATCATTGTTCTCATTATCACAAAGAACTTGATTTGGATAATTAAATTCAACAGGGATAAAAACATTTGGTGAAGAATACAAATTGCTGGGAGCTTTGATCCAATCAAACACTTTTTGTAAAATTGATTCAAAAATATTTGGATAATCAATGTCAGAATTCGTTTCTCTAAATTTATCCTTATAATTATTGATATACTCAAATAACTGTTGACATTTATCGGTAGCGTTCTGCTTTGGTTTATTTACAATATTATTAATTTGGTTATTATTATTTCCAGTAATGGAGAAATTTTGATTTTTTGTTGCCCAAGTATACTTTTTTTTATAAATAAACTGAACCCATTCACGACAGTAAAAACGTGAATTATTATCGCAAGCTCGATAACGGTTAATGTTCTTGGTTATATCAGCTGCTTCAATTCGTAAAAACGAAATTGGTTGCGCTTCTTCATTACAAATTTTTCCGTTTGAGTATTGTTTCACTCGCAAATTCGCAAGCTTATTGTAAACAGAAACAGGGTTGAATTCAACTTCTGCCATTTATACTACTATTGAATTTATGAAATATAAATTAATACTTTGTTTTTATAATTAAAGATCGGATTCTGTCCTACAATCAATATTCCAATTTTTCCGAATGGACGCCCCCCACACTTTATGTTCCAAGGACATATACATATCACGTGTGAGCACGATAACATTGACTGAACTGATCTTTTAATTCAACAATGCAAAAGATTTTTTATTTTTATTATGAGCTATAAAAGGAATTATAAACAAATGGCACATTATCTTAACAAAGAAAAAAAAATCATTTCTAAATTAAATGATTGATAATTGTAAATAATAAGAAAAATTCACCATTTTTATTTTTATTCTAATTAATTAAACAGTACATAAACAGCAACAAATAAACTGTATATAAATAAACAGTACATAATATTATACCCAGCTGATCCAACCAACCCACATTACACCAAGTACATAGGGATCAGTTGCTAAATCAATTAAACATTCAATTTGTTCTTTAACACTACCACATTTTTGAGGTACACGAGCTCTAATATTATGTTCAGGGGATCCTTTTGCTATATCTTGAATATGATCAATAAAGGGTTTCCTTGCATGACCAGACATTAATTCTTCACATACAATATCTAATGAATTATAATGATCATAAATGATTATAACGATTATAATGAGGAATAAAATTAAAATCGTATGTATGATTTTGCAAAAGGATTCATCTTCAAGTAATAAAGAAAATAAATTGAAACTTACATGCTGGATTTTCACCTTCAAGTTTCCGTCGAGCGATATCCAATTTTTTACGTGGATACCATTCAGTTCGAGGTTGATAATCGATTTCATTACTATCCTGATTTCCTATAAAATTTAATTTATGGTTACCATATTATTCATTATGATTATGTAATCGATATATCTATATTTAAAATCGATAACTAACTTTGATATCTTGCTTGTTTTCTAGCCCTCGTTTGCCAATCTAATAAAGGTTCTTTAACGAAAATTTCCATGGCATTTAATAATATATCCTTGTGTGCATGCATAACTAAAATATCAAAATATTTTTTGTAAATTAAAAATTCATGATAAAGATAATAAAATGAAATAAAATGAAAACAATTTAAAATTACTTTGCATTATTTTGATCATCGGATATTCTAATAGACCCTTAGGTCCCAATGGATACATTAGAGACTCAATTTGTTTGGTAAGTCTAAATGGTACTAATTCTGGTACATCTATAGTTTCAGTTGCCGATCCAAAAGCGTGTCCAAAATCAATTGATACCAGAGAACCACTAAAAACATATCAAAAGGATCATTTTCTAAAATAAATCTCTTGCAGAAAATAAATCTAATGCAAATTTTCAAATTTAGTGAAGAAACGCTTACTTGGTAAAGTCAATTAAATAATTTTCCGAGTGCCTATCTCCAATCCCTAATAAAATAATAAGAATGATCAGTTATGAAAACGACGAGAAAAAAAGGTAGTTAAAAGAATTATAATTACCAATCAAATAACCACAAACATTTATAACTGCAAGTTTCTTCACAAATTCTGAGCGAATTGACAAATGCGCTTCTGGTGAAGCAGCAAGTTTATATAACGCCTTTTTAAGAGAATTTGCATTAACCTTGCTTTGAAGTCGTGTTATATGTTTAACCACATCATCACGTTTTGCATTTTTTAATAAACAGGGATAACCTGAAATTAAAATCAAAATAAATATTTATTATAAAATATAATATAAATTAATATTTCGGAAGTAGTTACCTTGATTATCTTCCATAGCCCATTTAGTATGCTCTTCTTGAGTTTTTGTAATGATATCCTCATTGAATAGTTCTCGCTCAATAAAACTTTTAATTGTTTGCGTTTCGGGAAGCCATTCAATTATTCCCAAGCTACCCGTCATTGGGATTACCTAAAAATCATTTCATGACTAATTAGTTAAAGCTAAATTAACCGTTGATTTTTTTTTTTTTTTTAAAAAAAAAAAAAAAATGAGTTTATAAACAATAGTTACTTTATATATTCTTAACTCCAATTTTCGTTGAGAACAATAGAAATCTTTACGCAATAATTCATTCATTATTGAGAATAAAAGTATGACTCTTTGATCCAATCGTAAGTCCTCTCCTCCCTAAAAAGTATAACTCATTGTAATTAAATAAAAAAAATAATAATCTTTGGAAATATATGAAGAAATACCTTTACGAGGAAAGGATAATCGTTTCCATCTGTTCCCACAATAGTAATTTTCCTGGGTTTTCTTATAGAATTTAAGACCAATACTCTTTGCTCAAAATTTGCGATTTTAACATGATGTCTTGGATCTGGAATAGTTAACCCATCGTATTGGCCAGGTATTTCGATATCCTGAAATTTAAATGTCAACAAATTACATTAATAAATTACATAACTTTCACAACTGTTACATGAATAGCTGTAAAAAAAAAAACCCCCCTTACCCCATCCACATTATACCATGAGAACTCAGCAAGCCACGTAGAATAAGACTTCAGCAAATTAGCTCCGGGTTTTTTTTCTCCCGTTCCGGTTCCAATATTTTGTTTCCAATAATTCACTAAAACCAGAAATTCCTGATAGATCATCTTTGCTAATTTTGATCCATCAATTCCTTTTTTAAAAATTTGAAATCAAAAAATCAAAAATTTTGATAAATTGAATGAATTGACATTCCCAAGAAAACTTACCACAAAATTGAATAAGATAATCCGAATGTCGGGAAGCAAATTCTTTAAGTAAAGAAAAATGGTTAAGAATTTTTAAAAAAAGCTAGAATAATGAACGAATTCATATTTTATCAAAATAAAGGATATTAAAAATGCCGGGGCGCGGATTTTTGACATCTAATAATATTGATTTCATTCGTAGGAAAGATGTTTTAATGGATTCTGAATGATCTATGCCTTCCCTCTTTTCATAGATATAACTCTTTAAAATATATATATATATAAATATTAACAGGAATTTAATAATTTAGAAATAAAAATGATAAATATGACATATAATATGATATATAATATGATAAATAAGTTTCTAAATTACCCCTATTGTTTGAATCCAAGACTTAAAAATATTTTCAGGATTTGAAAGTCTTTCAAGTTCTTCTATTAATATCTCCATGACATCACTCTTGATTATTTGCTTCAATTGTTGAATTTTACATTTATTTTCCAGCACAAATTTATTTTTTTCATCGAACTTGTAATGTTCACTACTAATTTTAAGTGGATAATACAAACTATTTGGATATAAATCTGCAAGCTAATTGAAAATAAAATATCCGTAAATATGCCGATGAATTTGACGAATTTGATGAATTTGATGAATTGAATGACAACAAATAAAATTTATCAATAATTAAATTAATTAAATTACCTTGAAAAGAATTGGAAAAACGCATTGGGCTGATGGTTTATCCAAAACAGCCACAATTTGAGGAATCCATCGGATTAATTTCCATACAGGCCCAAATGATTTTACCTTCAGTTCAAAAGTTTGTTGAGATGGTTCATATAAATCGATTATTTGTAGCAACCGCGGGAAAAATTCAGAAGCTTCTTTTGATCCGTATTCTATTGCTCGTAAGATATTTTGCACAACACTTGAAGCATATAAATCTTTATCAATTGATATCTATGCAATAAAATAAATAATGGAAAAGAAATCATTATATTTATATTATTTTATAAGAGAATTAAAATTATATGAAAAATTTAAGTTACATTTTTCAAGTTATCATCAGATTCCAAACGTCTAAGATAATTATCACAAAACTTTGCGAATTTGACGAAAATCTTGGCTTGATCAGAGGGCTAAGTAAAAACAAAAATTTAGGAAATATTTAGAAAACAAAAACTTGAATTAAGAACTTCACAAATATTAGAAATCAAAAATATATATACCTTAAGATGAAGCATAGCTTTCTCGACAGAGCTATTCAATCCTGTTTTCATAAATAGATAATGAATAATTATATCATAAAAGTTTATATCAAATAAATGAGGAATCACTTACGATCCCCGAGATATGAATATTTTTCCATAATTTCAGGTTTGTCAAATTCAGCTATCTCAAGAGAATAAGTTTCACACTCGATTACGCGACATTTCAAATCAATTCTCGTATCGGAAATCTTAATAGTAAAATTCATCATTATAAAATTAATCATTATAAAATTAAATAGGAAAACAATTATTATCACTAATTACCTGTATTTCTTCGAAATTATTAGTCATTTTTTTTAAAATAGTAGCCCTATTCTGGGTATCTCCTGTGGACATGGCTTCTTTAATTTGAAGTTTGAATTCATAATATTCTATGTCATCTTTGCAACGAACGTCTAAAGTTCGGCATTTACTAAGACATACTCGTGCAACTTCAAAATTCCCCTGGACTCTTGCAGCTGACGACATTTTCAATAATTCTTGACATTCCAGTTTGTTTTTAATTGCATTGAACTATAAAAAACAAATATTAGATTGATAATGAATAGGTGATGTTTAATATATTAAGGATACCTACATTTTGGTCTTCTCTCAGCCAATTCGTCATATCACCAAGAATTAAATGACGACTTGTTATTATGTCATCCCAGGAATTAGTAGGATCAAGTTGCTTCGAAGGATACCTTTATTAAGAGCAAAATATATACATATATATATATATATAAATCCGCATACTTTTTTACAAATAAAAAACTCCCCCCGGATTTTGGGATTACCTTTTACTCCAACAAGAAGTTAATTTATTCCGATTTTTCAATCTATTCGAAGATTGCGCAAGATTCAAATATTCTTCCATTTCGACAATCTAGTAATATGATACACATATAAGATCAGCAAACATAAAATATTATTTAAAATCTATTTTTAATGAATTACCTCTTGAAGAGAGCTCAATTTATTTAAACGAGTACCAATTGCCAAAGGATGTAAAGTAGACCAATTGAATAAGAAACTATCATATGCTTTTCGAACATATGACCGTGCTTGTTCAAATTCATTTCGAGCAATTGATGTTAACGCTAACTCTACAAGAATAATAAAAGAAAAGAAAAAAAAATAATTATTAAAATATAATCCTAGGCAAGAAAAATAAGAGCATAAAGATTATTAGATACCTATTGGATATTGGGAAGTGAGAAGTGTCTTATGATCTGAATCATTCATAGCATTTTCGATAAAATTCAAAAACATTTGACGATGGCTATCATGATTATCAGTTCCATGAGCTAATTTAAACATGCTTCTCATAAAGTATTGAAGATATGGATCCTATTAAAAAAATAAAAATTTAAATTTTCTTAATTAATTTAATTTAAATAAAAATTCATAATTCATTAGATAATGTTCTATTTCAAAAACCTGATAATCGTCATCCCATAGTTTATCTAGATCCCTATCAATGTCTAAAAGAACAGTTTCGGCCAAATCATCCCATTGTGACAACTTTACGTAACATTCAAATCTACCTTCCTCCCACACTCTAATCTAGAAAATATATAGTTATTATTATTTGCATTGAATGAATTGAACGAGAATATAATGATTAATAAATACATATTAATTCAAAGACCTCATAAATAATGAACAAAAAGTAAAATGCAAACCTCATTTTCGTCAGCATTTTCGTCTTCCGACCCAAGTGCTTCTAAATAAAGCTTACATGCCGAACCGTAATCACCAATAAATTCAGAATTGAGAGCATCTAAATATAAAACAAGATAATATTAAAATTACTTTATCTTCACTTTTGATTAATCAAAAATTTTACATTTTTAACAAGAAAAACCCACCCTTAGTAACTTGACTGTGAGCGATGTGGTTCTCATAAATGCTTTTGTAAATATCATGAGAATCAATGGACTTATAAAGATTTGCCAACTCTACCCAAGGTAACAAACTTTCTGGTGTAGCAGATTCTTTAACACGAATCCTCTTGGATCCTAGAATTAAAATATTAAGTATTAAGATGCAAAATAAGCACAACAAAGTAACAAATAATGAATATAATGATTACCTCTTTGTGAAGTAGCAAGATTCGATAACTGACGTTCAATCAAACTTATTCCCATCGATTCGGAAGAACAGATTTCACTGACTTTTCTTATAACTGTCGGGTCTATGCGTGTATCTAAGGCCTCGAAACAAATTCTTAAACAACTGCTTATCAATGGAGAAAAATATGTTGTCGAATTTATGAGAATGTCTCGGATACTACGTGCAAAAGAATCTTTATATTCTTCCTGTGAGTCAGGTTCCTAAAAAGATAATGATTTACAAATTTAATTTTTAAGTTATAGTAAAATACAAATTGAAAATTGAATAATTGAATCGAATTTATTACCATATTAACATTTTCATCAATGAGGTTATATAAAGAAACAAACATTGATGTGAATAATATACGTGAAATTTCTAAATCGCGCTGTGCTAACGCTTGTAAGGGGACAACTATTTCTGAAAATTTTATTTCTATATCTGGAAGATCACCTAAATTTTTAAATTAAAAATTTTAACAATTAGAAAAAAGAAAATTAATTATTATTTTTTTTTTTAAAAAAAAAAATATAAACTGATTGTCTTTTTATACAAACCAACACGATATTGGCGTAACATAGAAACTTGCTGCGAAAGAGATTCGGGCCGTGCAGAAGTTGAAATTTCTGATCTTTTCTTCTTAGTATGAGCCAATTTTCGATAAAATTCTTTTTCGGAAGCTTGTGAAGATGAATAAGAGGAAAAAACACGTTTTCGTAAATTTTGATACTGTGAAATTTGTGTTGGTCTGATAAATACAAATACAAATAAAAATAATTAATTAAAAGATTTAATATTTAATAAATAACTTTTTAAATAACTTTACAGCAATGATTCGATATATATTAAATTATTTACAATGAATTATCTTCTTGTAATATTTGTTTTCTTTTACCCAAAGTTCGAGCACTTGTTGGAGAAAAGAATAGATTTGATTGGGTTAAAGACCAGTTGCCAAGTTGAGAGCCCATCGAGCTCATTGAGCCCGTTTCTATTTAAATTGATTAAATTGAATAAAGGTTAAAGAAAAAAAAATATCACATTAAATAAATAAATATTTAGTACCTGGATCAATGGTAAGTGAGAACTCATAATTATTATTCGTAGCGCGAATAAAACCATCTTGGTTACTTTTAATTCTTTTCTATTAACAAGAAATTTTTTAAATATAAATATAAATAAATTTTATCACAAAAAAAAAAAATAAAATAAAATGATGATGATGATGATGATAATAATAATAATAATAATAATAATAATAAATAGAAATATCGTATCTATTAAAGTAATATACATACATTAGGATTGCTTTGTTGAGTATTCACGAAAAGAGGCGTCATTGTGCTGTGGAATTGCCACGATGTATCTATGTTATCATAATTATCAAATTTGGAATGTGGTAGTGGTTGATCGAACATTGGTTTATTATAATCAGGCGATTTCTTCGACCCTTCGAGTAATAGAAAACAGGCATAGTGCAAAAAGATAGTTTCTATCTCGGAACTATATAAATTTCTGTTGTAGAAAAAAAAAGGAATATGAATAAAAAATAATGCAAAAAAAAATTTTGTTGGATGTACTTTACAACAAATTTTACTTACCCTATAAGAACTTTTAATCTCGCGAAAGTATCTTGAGATAATTCTTGTTGTTCATGCCAAAATTCTGTTATTGTTTGTTGAATACTTTCATTAACATCAGCCAATCCTCGCAATAGACCTGATTTAACTTTTTTCTTAATTTTTTTATAATCAGAAGATTGATTAGGAATATTCTTGTACAGTTGAATTAAAATCGAATAATAAAATTTCTAAAGAAAAGATTTCGTTAAGGTTTATAGATATTTTTAACCATTATTTAAATGGAGTTCGAACAGTTGGATATTACAAAAAAAAAAGATACACGACATTCGATATTTTGATGATCGTAAAAACTTTCTATCAAAGTTTCTAAAAAGTAATTGATTAATTCAGAATCATATTGCTGCTTTAAGATACCATTAAGGATTCTTAAAGCAATAAGCTGTTCGCTATCATTTCTATATATGTTACAAAAATATATAATTAATAATTCTTTTAAAAAAACCAAGAGAAGACGAGAAGATCAAAAAAAAAATAAAATATTTGCCTATGTTTAAGTAAATTAAGAAGATATGATTTCTTCAAATTTGTAAGTAAATCTGGTTCACTATCAGCACAAAAAGATATAAGTTCCAAAGCTAAAAATTTTTTATCATTAATTGTAGTAAGACGTGGTAAAAGATTAAAAACATGACGGATAAATTTATCCGAAACTTGAGGATCGTGCATAGCAATGTGGTGAACACAAGTAAGAAAAGAATTAACGTCTCCTTGTTTGTTCATGATTTTTTGATATATATTAGTTACCTAATAATTATAATAAAATATGTTAAAATGTTAAAAATAGAAAATATCAAAATAAAAAGTCAATTTTAAGTCATGAAATAATTACCGTATCCAATAAAGGATTCAATAAAACTTTTATGCGATCTTCGGAACAATGATACTTTCTAAGATGTTTCAATGACATGCCGCAAACCTTAATATAAGTAAAAGAAAATTAAATACTAAAACAAATCAAGAAATGATCAAAAAATGATTAAGAAAATAACCTCAGCACAAAGATTTCGTATAGTAAATTTTGCATGATTCAACTTTTTTACGAGATCCCAATAAAAAGTTTCTTCTGTCAACCCTCCTAAATCAATTCCAACCTCTTGTTGAAAAGGAGGTTTATCATGTGCCAATACAATTCCTAAAAGTTGTAAACCCGCTAATATTTGATCTTGATTATCATTTGAATTTTTGATATAATCATAAATCACTCGCTAAAATAATTTAAAATTAGTTTCAATGAATTTTTGAAATAAATTTACATAGAAATATCATAAAACTTACTGTTGGAACAACAATAAATTCATGCCAGATTTCAAAAATTCCTTTAATAGTTTGAAGATTATTATGAAGGACGGGACGATTTTTATGACAAATATTTCTCATTAAAAAATTCTAAAATTTCAAATAAATAAATAAATAAATGAATAAATAAATAGATAATAAATAATTATTAATATTTGAATTTCAACCTTGAATTTAGAAAAAAAAAAAAAAAAAAAAAGTGTTATATAATATTACCAATAGATCATAGATCAAAACTCGATCTTCATATGATTGTAATTCTATTAGTGAACCCCAAACAATTATTACAGCACATAAATCCTATTTATTTAAGAAATAAATTATTTTAATTTAATTTAAAATTTGATTCATAAATAGAATGAATAATTAATTAATTAATTACCTGAATAAAATAATTGATTCCCTCGCCGTAAGAATTTCCTTCAATTATTAAATTGATTAGAGGTCTAATCCAGAACGATGCATACTTTTCAAAAGCTTCCGGAATATTAGTTATAATTTTAGCGATAAAAAGTCGTATATTGATATGTGTTTCTTTAAAAATTATATACACAAAAATTAATTAATCAAAATAAATTATGAAGGGATTATAAAGGACTATAATTGAATATGATTTAATATAATGAAACAAAATAATCCGAACCTTTCTTTGTGAATTTTTTGTGCATGTCGTTCATCCATCCCGGCATCGAATCTACTAATTCACTAGGAGGCGGAGTAACAGTTGTATGAAGTCTTTCGATAGCTCTAATTATCATTTTCATACAGGGATTACGGTTGATCGAATCAACTTCAAGTTCTCTGAGATTATTTAAACTGTAAATAAAATAAAAATAAACGTAATTATAAAAATATAAATTATTCGAAAATTATAAAACCATAGTAAATGTAAAAATAAATACCTTTGAAATTCGGAGTTATCATCCATTTCCATCGGTATTGACCCTTTGTCATCATTTGTGAATTCACCAGTAATTGTATTGTCAAATAAATCAGTACTCTTTTAGAATGAAGAGAAATATTGATTAATTATTATCATCATCAATTATTATTATTATTATTATTACTATAATTATTATTATTATTATTATTATCATCATCAATTATTATTAATTATCAAAAAATAATAATAATATTATTATTATTATTATTATCATCAATTATTATTAATTATCAAAAAATAATAATAATTAAATTAAAAAAAAAATTTTAATTTCACAAACCCCTGTGATACTGGAATCTACAAGATATTGAGATGTCAAATACTTCAAACTACTAGATCTAAAAAAATGAAGAAATTTAGATTTGCATAAAAACTAAAGGTACAACTTAAATAAAAAATGCATACTTTTTCATTGATTGGAATGAAGAACTTGACTTGGATCTAAAATCATCAAGCTTTGTTTTGAAAAAAGGTTGATCCAATTCAACTTTAAACTCAAATTTAACCTGTTGTTTTAAGAAGAAAAAAAAATTTATTTTACGGCTAAAAAGAAAATAAAATTTGAAAAGAAGATAAATTTTGAAATAAATATTTTTAAGCTTACTTTCAAGTCAACGATATTTTCCCATGTATACTCTCCTTTTGTAACGTTTTCGGAAAATAAGAATGTTTTATAAAATTGTTGACCAGTTTGAGTACACATTATTGCTGCGGCCAATGCATTATATGCGGCACATCTAAATAAAAGTCGAGCTTCTTGAACATCGTTATTAGCAAATTCATCCTAGAAAATATTCAATAATATTATTATACATCAAAAAAAAAAAAAAACTCGACAAATCACGATGAAAAACACAGCAGAATATTTAAAATTTTACATTTTCTGATTTGGATTTTGTTTTATGAGAGATCTCCATAACTTTACGAGTTAATTCTTTTGCTTTCACTTGTCTACCCCGACAATAAGATTGAACAATTTCACTTTTATCTGTATATATATCTTCCTCATTAACTCGAAGATAAAGAATGTAAAAAATATAAGTTAAGATTAAATATTATAAGGATAATATTATAATAATAAATATTATAAAATAATAATTGATTAATGATTAATGAAAGGATATTTGTAATAAAACAAATGAACCAGCTTTTGCATCAAGTTCATAAATTCTTTCTTGATCGTTCCTAATTCGAGGATCACGTTCAATGATGTCTATTAATTCTTTGACACATTTCTTATAGAAATCAATCACAAAGTTTTTAGATCCTTGCATCAATATTGGGGTTAGAATTGATTGAATGATATTTCGATGAAAATTGGCAAATTTTGAATTTTGAAAATATCTAAAATAATATTGAAACGTAATATAAATTTATGAGATTTATTAATTTTATTAGTCTTAAAAAAATATTTTAAAAAAAAATATTAAAAAAAAATATTTAAAAAATATTTTAAAAAAAATTGATAAAGAAATATTAAAAAAAAAAAATAAAAAAAAAAAATTGATAAAAAAATATTTAGAATTACCCAAAAGCAATATCTGACATTTCTACAAATTTTTTACCAGAAAGATGGGAAACAAATAATCCCAACTGTTCCTGAAACTCATTAGCATAAATATGATCAGTTTCTCGAACAAAAGTTGGGACAAAGATTTTAAAAAGCGCAATACTATTAGATTGAACCATCGCTTTGAGCAGTTTGTCTAAAACTGAAATGTAATCATTTAATCTATAAAAATAATAATTAAGAATAATTCATCAAAAATTAAATAATAAATCAAAAATTATTTAAATATGACAGAAATATAAAATTCTAAATAAAGAATACTTTTTAGGTCCATCACGAGAATATTCTGAGGACAATAAAGGAAATTGGTAATTTAACATTCCTTCAATGAGTTCTTCGATCTTAATTGAAATAAGTATATGTCAAATTGTAAATGAAATTTAATAAATCAAAATAATAATAATAATAATAATAATATAAAATACCTTGTCTTTTGGCATATCAGATTTTAGGAAAGCAGGCAATAAATCGAATGCTTCACTTTTAAAATCAAGTTCAGTCTCCGGTGTTAAAAATGTGAGATATATATCATAAAAAAGTTGTTTGAATTCGTTCGTAGATTGACGTTTTAACAAATTAGAATCCAATTTAATGAGATCTTTCCAAAGTTTTAACAGAAATTTTTGGTCACCCCCATAAGAATTCGCCCTATATTGAAAATATAAGAAATGAATTATTAGAGTATTAAAATTAATCATTAAAAAAATAAAAATAAAAATTCAAACTTACATTTTATTTAAAAAATAAATGGACGATGCAAACTACATTAAAAAAAGAAAAAACAAATTTTAGTTTAATCATGAAAAGAAAACATAACAAAAAAAAATTCTTAAACAAACATGAAAATACCTACATCATTCAAAAATTTCATTGTTTGAATATGATTTTTCTTGTAAAATAAATAATTTAAGATACCTCTCAAAATATCTTTAATAATCAAATCAGAGATATTTTCACAAAACAATGGTGCAAATTTTGTGAAATTTTTTGACAAATGATCGTTGATCTTTACAATTTATCAAGGAAAGTTGAGTTGTATTTAGCCATAATTCGATTAAAAAAAAAAATAAATAAATAAATAAAAAACTACAAAAATTCAATAATTCAATTCAAAAATACAAATAGAGATGTACACTCGAAGAAAACTTCTGGTAATAATTGCAACTATCTTCATAACTCGAAGTGGAACTGTTTCTAGAATATCCCTGTAATATCAAAATTTTACGTTAAAAAATATTCTTAATTATAATAAAAAAATGGATGACGATAAAAGTAACTTACGATTAAGTCACTAAGTAACCATTTATTAATATCATTAGAATTTCTACTCAGAACGAAAGTAAGCAAATTATTCAACAATTGGATCCAATGTGGATATTTGACATCTCGAAGAGAAACGATTTTATCACATATAAGTGAGATATAATTATGCACAGTATGCACAGATGAAAAATTGCCTAAATTCCGATTGAATAGATCATCAAATATCCCAGCATCATTGAGCATTTTGAAACCGTAAGCTATATGAATATAAAGAAAAGGGTCTAAAAATTCAAAAATTACTTTAGAACGTCTTAAATAATAATAATAATAATAATAATAATAATCATAATAATAATAATAATAATAATTATAAAAAGTAATAATAATAATACTAATAATAATATTAATAATAATAATAAATATTAATAATAATAATATTATTATTATTAATACTTCGAACAAAATTTACCAGACGATTCTAATTCAATATTTAATAAATCAACATTCTTAGAAAATGCCACCATTGATATTTCCTGAATACAGTTGTTAAATTGAAGCGAATCGGAATGAGAGATTTGTTTAAACAATGACAATAAAGTATACAACTTTCTTGAAAATCCATCATATGAATTCTCATTATTATTATTGATCAAAGATCCTAATTCCAATTTTTCAGCAAAGAACAACCATCTTGCCAAAGCCTTGAAAAATAAATCGTTAAATATGCTTGAGTTCTGTACATTCAAGTTGTCATTGATTGCAGCTTCAAGAAGAGCAATAATAAAATCAATAAAACTATTGGTCATTTTAATTCGGCATTTAGTCAATTGTGATCTTTCTGCAGGAGTCAGAAATTCCTCGGAATCCACAATAAGATTTGAGCTTTGATCATCAAATTCCAAAATGTTGAGAGAAAGATCCAAATCAATAGATAAAACCATTTTATTTATAAAAATGTTGATGGAATCTCGAAAAGTGAACATCTCTTTTTGCATTAAAACTTCAGGTGATATGAATTTTTCTTTAATAATCCAAGTATAATTTTCTAGGAAAGATAAAAAGCGAGCACACCATTCTTTGTTTTGAGAAAAATTTATGCCTTTATTTTGATCAAATGATAGTGACAACGCAGAAGTTTTGTAGAGATCTAACAAAAATGAGGGTTGACTTGAAATTTTAGCATTGACCCAATTCAAACCATTTTTAAAATCTAATAATAAGTTATATTAAAAAATTAATATTAGCAAAAATATATATGTATATATATACTATATACATATCTATATATATACATCACTATTTATATATATATATATCTATCTATATATTTATATAATCCAAAAAAAAAAAAAAAAAATATCAATATTTATATAAATAAAAATTCATATAACCTGGAATGTGCACCACAAATTCGGTAAATAATTCTCTACACATATTAGCATAATCACTTTCTTTACGATTAGTTTCCATAAAAAGCCAATTCACTAAAGATAATAAATTTGCTTCTGGGAGGCCAGGAAATTTTCGCCTATTATTTATCTTAGTTAGAAATAAGTTAGATTTTAAATTGATTATCTTTTTCAAATGGCGAATTGCCATTATTGCTTGTTGTCGAGTACCTAAGAATTATAATGAATTTAAAATTATTTGATTTCAAAAGATTAACAAAAAAGAAAGAAATAAATAAATGAATCAATCAATCAAAAAAAAATCACCAATAGCATCTTGATCTTGTTCAGATAATCTTAAATTAAATAATGTCCAATATAAAAGTTCGAAAGTGAAATGATTAACTAAATATTCTTCTTCACGAAAAACTCTGTAAATATGATTAATGGCCAAAGAAGCACCCAAACGTTTTGTATAATCAGGATGTGCAGAAGCATTGTATAAACGGTTAAATAATGATTTAATATTCAGAGGATCCTTTTCTATTTGCTATTTTAAAGAAAATATTTTTAATAATATTAATAATATTATTATTAATAATAAATAATAGATAATAATAAATCATAATAAATAAATAAATAAATAAATAAATAAATAAATAAATAAATAAATAAATAAATAAATAATAATAATAATAATAATTTTTTACCTGATTTGAAGACTGTTTAATTGACCATAATAAAAATTCATTAAGACACTCAGCACCATAATCTCTCAATGAACCCCAAGAATCACAAGTAGCATCAAGACAACATTGTAATAAAGTCATAGTTTCCGGATTCTCATATTGTGCATTATTTGTAAACCAATGAATTAATTGAGAAACAAGCCTTCGAAATAATTTTCTTGGAACTTGATCAGTATCTATCGCCAAACGCAAAAGAACAGGAAATATACGATGATATATTTTGCAAAATGGGCTCTGAAAAATAATTCAATTAATTAAAAAATGTTAATGATAATTGGATGGGATGGGATGTAATATAATCAATTAAGAAATTATACCTCTTGAGGTCCTTTAGTGATACGAGCTTGAAATGCACTTCTCCCTATCATAAGTAACATAATAGAATGCAATAATTCACAAGATATAACTTTTGTTTTTCTATCAGGAGCAGATTCGGCTAATTCAATAATGCGTGGTAAAAATTCATCTATAATTAAAAGTTTGAAAATTAAAAGATCATAAATTATAATTATATTAATTACATTTAATATTAAATTAAATTATATGAATAATTATTAAAAAAAAAAAAAAAAGTTTATCAAATTCAAACCAAATATAATTTCAATTTTGCAATCAGGATAAGGAATAGTAAACTTTAAACGTCTCTCAGGATCCCAAGCAAGAAGATTACTAGTTAGACTTTTATTCTTAAAATTAGATGATTTAAATTGTGTATTGAGCTTAAGAATGGTGCCTTCATTTGATATATCCTCAATGATTAATTTATTAACTCCACCAAGTCTACCAAGAATTCGAAGAACGCGTACTTGCAAGTCATATAAACCAACGTTCTTTTCAAGTTGTCCAACCTAAAAAATCAATATTGATTAATATTGATCAATATTGATCATAATTAATCGATTTGATTATAATAAACTTAATAACAATATAACAATCTATAATAATATATAATAACATAACAATTATTGAATCTTACCCCTACAATAGTTTTAAATGATTTAATCATCCCTGATTCCTTTATCTTTTGCTTTCGTGCTTTCTCTACTGATTTCAAACCATTTCTATTTTTTTGAGAATTTGCTCGAAATTGTGCAATCTCCTTTAAAGAATTATCCATTGTATCCGCTTTAACTAACAAATAATCATTTAAAAATGGTAATATTTGTCCAAGCCATTTACTTAAATCCTGAGGTCCTTTTAAATCCACAATCTTTTCTATTACATCCAATCCAATATTAGTAAGTGGTTGATAACTTTGACCCAATTTTAAAGCAATGCATATTGGTGATACAAGATCATTGATATTTAAAAGTTCTTTAGGAACGGAGAGGACAAGACGAAGACAAGATGCTAATAAATCATCTTTATATTGAACCAATCGAGCACAAACTTCCTTGATAAATTTCGAATAAAGAAAATAGCTTACACGCTGCATAGATGTTGTGGAAGGTAAGAATTGACTTTGTGTGACATTTTCCATCTGTAAATAAATAAAAATAAAAATAAAATAAAATTTATAAAATTGAATTATACGTAAATAATTTAAATTAATTATAATAATGATAAATAATGATAATGATGATGATAATAATAATAATAATAATAATTAATAATAATAATAATAATAATAATAATAATAATAATTAATAATAATAATTAATAATAATAATAATAATAATAAATATAATATAAAAATTATAACTTACCTCAATGTCTAAATTTTTAACTCCAGTAAAATATTGAATAGATTCGCATATTTTTAAACATGATCCCACCATTTTATAAAAACCGCTAACATAAGGATATTGTGTAGACAAAGATATAAGATTATCCCCAGCTAAATAAACCCATCTTGAAAATAATTCTTTCCTAATTCCAGGTAAAAATAATTGCCAAAAATCCACAAGATTTTGAAATATAATAAAATCTTTGGAAACTACAGGTTGTAAATTTGACAAATCACTAGAACCCGCAATAGCTATTAAATTAGAATCAATAATTTCTTGAGTATTTTCAGTATTAGTTGTAATATCAATCACTTTAAAATTGAGTGCCCGAATGATACGAAATATTGCTAAAAAGAATTCATCATAAAGGATAGTAAAGAATTCTTTGACTGCGTCACTATTATTTTCTATGTCTTCGCTCATCTGATGACCAACCCATAATAAAGTAGAATCACTAAATATATGATTCCATAAATGAAACATTTCCTGATAGGTATGATCGGCTACCGTGTCTATAATATTGGGAATATCTTGTCTTTGATTATCAAATAATTGTTGACTTTGTATTGCATCAGAACAAGTTAAAATCAACGCCTGATAAACTATTAAAAAAAAAAAAAAAAATTTTTTTTTTTTGAATTTATTTAAATTATTTCCAGGTATAAAATTTGTAATTAACTTTTTACTTTTATTTTTACTTTTACTTTTACTTACACATATTAGAAACAAATTTCCTCATAACACCAGATCCTTTTTTGTACAACATCCATAATAATTGTTCAAATGCATTTGCACCGCGAATACGTAAGTCGTGTATTAATCGTGGATAATAAATCAACATTATTCTTACTTCTTGCTCAATAGTTTCCAATAATTCATCAAAAATAACATCAAACTCTTGTCCAATATAACAAAAGGCTTCAATGAATAAGGGAATTTGATAAACATTGGCTAAGATTTCATTTTCATCTACGCTATAAATATTTTAACATATAGAGTTAAAATATAAAGTTAACATATAAAGTAATTAGAATTAGATAGAACGAAATTAAAAAAAAAAGATCTCAGATTTTCTTCCGGACCAAATGAATGAATATACCTTAACACAACTAATGAGCCAGGTTTTAACAAATCTTGAAACAATTGTTGTAATTTAACCTTATCCATAATCTTTTTTGCCGGGGCCGCAAAATAACCGACACCACGCACCGCAATAGAAAGACCCTTGGGATATTGATCCTTGATCTCAATCTCAACTTTTTGTTCTTGTTCAGAGTTTCTCGTTTTCCAAATGTTGACAAATTTTGATATGAAATACTAGGGAAAATAAAGAAATATTAAATCAATAAATAAAATATATATAATAATGATATTTTCGATATTTTTAAGTTATTACATTAATGCATTTTTCTTCTTCTGGTCCAATGGGGTTAGAATTCAACAATTTCGCAGTCTTTTATTTATTTTATTTTATTTTTATTTTATTTTTATTTTATTTTATTTTTATTTTTATTTTATTTTATTTTTATTTTTATTTTATTTTTATTTTTATTTTATTTTATTTAATTTATTTTATTTTATTTATTTCATTTTATTTTTATTTTTATTTTTATTTTTATTTTTATTTTATTTTATTTTTATTTTATTTTATTTTATTTATTTTATTTTATTTATTTTATTTTATTTATTTTATTTTATTTATTTTATTTTATTTTATTTTTTTAGAAAAAAAAAAAAAAGTTAATTTATCAAATTAGATATAAAAACATAAACGATGACAAACATGGCAACACTAGAATTATAAAAACTGAAAAATAAATCTTATAAAATACCGTTTTTAGAAATTCACCAATGGCTTTAAATGCTGAACGTTTTAAATCTCTATTTATATGTTCGCAACATACCCAAAGACATGTCCATAATTCTTCATAATGTTGTAAGTAATATTTACCAAAGATGGAAGAATGATCAATAATATAATCAAAACCGACTAAATATAAATTAGAATAATTAGTTAGTTGATAGAAGATAAATTAATTAATAAAAGATAAAATTCAAATGATAATGATGAATGCTCATATAATAATAATAATTATACAAACGTTTCGCAATTTCATAACGCGTTTCATTTTCAATCATAGCTATACTTCGTAGAATACATTCAAACACGTACTTCTCGTGTCCCGCTAAATTAAATTAAATTAGATTAATTCGATTAATTAGAAAAATTTGATTAATTTGATTAATTAGAAGAATTTGATTAATTTGATTAATTAGAAAAATTTAATTAATTTTGATTAATTTTGATTAATTAGAAAAAATTTGATTAATTAGATAATTATACCAACAATAATATACAATAATAATAATATCTTAGATAAAAAAAAAAAAAAACCTGTTCGCAACATATCAGGAAAACTAAATAAGAATGAATGTAAACTTTTAAACGCTGCATTCGAGTTGCCTGGATCCTTCAACATATTGACAAATACACGAAGAATCTTTTCAGCATCTTTTTCTGATTGTTTAGGAAATCTATGTGCTATTATACCAATCGTGTTCAGAACTCCCGCCATAACTATATATATAAATTCATAAAAATTAAATATAAAATATAATTATAGAATATAATTATAGAATTAAAAAACCACCTTTTATGCTTGCTTGCATCTTGCTCTTCACAAAAATACAATCAAGATATCTAATAGAGAGAAGGAAGATTATTGATTTTCAAGAAATACTTTATATAATCATTGCCAATACATTAAATACATTATATCCAACATAACAAAATTACCTTTTTAAGATATCTTGTACGTGTAATTTTTCAGGATCAATAATTGGAATACTAAAATCAAACATTGCCATCATTGGTTTGAAAGATGCAGCTCGAACAAAAGCTTCATCATCAAATTGAAGAATAGAGAAGCATCCTTCCTATATATATTATATTTAATTTAATTTAATCATTTTAATAAATAACGAATTTGCTTTGATCTTTTTTTTTTTTAATCCTTTTATTATTACTATTATTAATAATTATTATACAAATACTTTTACATATTAAATAAATAAAATAACAATAATTATGAATATTATGAACCTTTATCTGTTCAGAATACGGTTCAATACCGGCTTTGACTCTTTTGATGTAAAGAAATAAAAATTCTAATAGTGCAATCTTTGCTTTCTGGAGAGTTTTATCAAACACATTAATTAATTCTAACAAGAATTTGATTATTCCGATATTAGGATCAAATAACAACTTGGACGCGAGGCCTTGATAATAATAATAATAATAATAATAATTTTTTTTTTTGTTATAATGTTCTTTTATAAATAAACTTCCAAAATAAAGTTAAATTAAATACAATTAAATACCTAGTTCTTTATCGTCAATATCATTAAAAATTTGTTCAATATCCTCACAATATTTAAGTGCTTCGCCGTTTTCCTGGAAAAGACTATTTTTTGAAAGTTGTAATATATTTTGGCGACATACTGAAAGTTCTTGTAAACATTTTAAAAGTTTATCTATTGATGACATTAGATTAAAAGGGTGATCGTTGATATGATTTGAATGATTTTTATTTAATTATATGTTTTATTTATCAAATTTTTATTTATCATAAAGTTTTAGGTAACAAAGAAATAATATATAATTCCTGATAATCAACTAAGGAATAAAATAATTAAATCTCGTGAATCTACAAAATATTCTTGTAATTCGGCATGTGATCTTGAATACATCAATTTATGTTTATATTTAAATTAAATAAAAATCCAGTTAAATTAAACTGAAAAAAATTGAAGATTTTTCATATGCCACAACAGAAACTTTAAATTCCCGTCTTTTTTTTTTTATATTATAAAGTATATATATAGTACTAATTGACCACCTGATAATAATAAAAATAGATAAATCAATTTTATTATTGAATTTGATTAACTACAAATAAATATTGATAAAAAAAAAAAAAAAATAGAAATTGCTGAACATGTAACACCGTAAAATACTACAAATACAATTAGTTCATTTACCATCCACATGACATCACCTCCATTTAAAGATATCATCTTGTCCCCTTATCTTTTTTTGAAGATCCCCATCATCTCGCATTGAAATATACTCTCTTACTTCTCCAATCGCATCTTCTTTAGGTAATGACTTTCTTTTTTCATAATGAAAAAAGTACTTTCATGATATCGTGAATAGAAAAGGTCTTTTTGTTGTGGAATTTATAGAATTTATAGAGAAGAATGATTTTGGGTCCAGGCATGAAAAAATATATATATATATCAAAATGAAAGGATGAAAAAGATGATATGAACCCAAAATCTTATAATAATCATTTTGATTTATCAAATTTTTTTTTTTTTTCTTTTTTTAAAAAAAAAAAAATTTCATTCATTCGTTTAAAACTTATTTGTTGATATTCCGATATTTCGAAAAAAAATTTTTTTAACTTTATAAAGTAGATTTTACTAAGTTATTGTAAAAATGAATCAATATATTTATATATGTGTAAATAAAACACAAAGTGTAAAAAATAACAACAATTGAAACAAAAGTATTTCACAATAAAGAATTATAATTAAGTCCACTCGATTATTTTCAAAATAATATTTTGTTGTTGTCCCATAAATCCCAAAAATGTTCATATGGTGATGGTAGTAGTAATAGTAGTAATAAAAATTTAGATATATAGTGCTCCACATCGATCGATCGATCGATCAAATTAAGATTTTAAAGAATTTAATCTTGGTTCGGCTGAATCAATTTTGCCAGGTTCTCCCTTAAAATTTGTTTTTGATTCCTTTTTTACATCAGATTGACTAAGGCGTAATTCCAATTTAGCCTTTAATTCTTCTAATTCTTTCTGTAATCGAACATTATCTTCCGTTCGAATCGTACACAGACCTAACTTGGAATTTAATTCTTCAACTTCTTTATGAAGTCGAATATTTTCTTCTTCAAGGCGTGTGACTTTTTCTTCAAGATCTGCAACATACAATTTTTTCTTACGGCGACATTCTTTAGCGGCTACCCTATTACGCAGGAGTCGTCGTTGTCGTCGTTCGTCGTTTGAAAGATTACGAGAATTACTACGTTTACCACTAGAATTATTTTCTTGGGATTGAATCTGAGCGGTTGCTGTTGCTGAACTATTCAAAAAATCTCCCATATTAGTGTGGAGAGGAGACGTCATACTTTGACTGGAAGACAACGATGGGTCAACTGCAATCGGTGAGCTCACTGAATTTGCCATAGTAGAAGTAGTTGAAGAAGATAAACTTTCAAGCTGTTGATTCGGAGGAGATTCTACTGTAACCTGAAGCGTATTTATTTGTTGAGTTGAAGACAATAAAGCTGCGGAACTTTCTTCAATGGAGTTGGAATCGGATTCCGTTAAGGTTGCGCCATCAACTGATTTTTCTACTGATTTTTTGGAACCCTGAGTTGCCTTGCGTTTTGCGTCACCTTGTTCAACTATATCATTTGGTGCAGTCCTTTTAAGTGACTTTGAAGATTCATCTTTTTTCGTTTGTTTTTTTTCTATTTTATTTCTATTAGTAGTAACAGAAATTAGTTTGTTGTCTTCAAAGGCCGGTTGCTCTTGTGGATTGGTAAACTGCACTTCTTGAGGCATTTTTATATATACATATAACTTTTAACTAGGTTTTTTACTGCAATTTGTGCAATTTGTTAAAATAACATAGTCAGATGAGATGAAGTTTGAGATTGAAGTTTTTAATAGTGAAATTAATTGAGCCCAGAAAAATTCATACGTTTTAGATTCGAGATGTATAGGTTATGGAAATCGTGTTTCGTCGTCCTATATTTATTTCGTGTTGGACGACGTCGTTTTTGCTCTCTATGACAAAAAGGTGACGGCAGCAAAAACTGGAGTGACGTTTCGTTTCTGCAAACAGGCCAGGTGTATCTACGTAATGTAAGTCACTACGTCAGCCACATGCATTTTGAGTTTTTATGTCCCACAACGGCGATACTAATAACAATGTTAGAATAATAGTGATCAACACTATTATAATTGGTTAAAATAATTTTTTAAAAAAATATTTTAAATAAATATTTTTTAAACACAAATGTGAAACAACTTCATTTATTACTTATGCCTCAAAAAAAAATTCTGGTCTTTGCTAAGAAAATTCAAGATAATGAATTATACAAATTTTATTCTTATTTAAAAATTGAACAGTAATTATACCATATATATACATTATATGAAATTTACTATTACTAAAAATTAAAAATACAAAATAACTTTTATTTAATTATTTAGATTTAGAACTACTAACCTAAAAAAAAATTAATTGATAAAATTAAAAGATAAAAAAAACATATACAAGTTTAGAATAGTTTAACTTGAGTCATTATATTGATAATTATAAAATTTAATATTATAGATAATTAACTTAATTTTAAAAAGAAAATTTTAATAGTAGAGTTTATTGTTAAAAAATTTTTTTGAATTAAGATAATTATTTATAATTATAATGTTATTAAAAAAAGACATTCACACAAATTTTTGCATATAGAATTTTTTTTTTCAAACTTATAAGGTCTTATTCTTTATTCAATATTATATATATAGAATTTTAATATTCTCAAACAAATATTTCAAACTACTCAAATAATTTACTACAATTTTACAAAAATCACTAAGATCAACTTATACCTGCCGCCCAAATCCCAAATTATTTTGGCATTATGGCTGCCAAAATATGCCAAAATTATTTGGGACCCGA